CTCACTCAGTCTTTCCGTCTTACTCGGTACAGAACCCAGGAAAAGTTGGTGCCCACATGAGGGTGAGTCTCCCTAGAGCAAAGAACAGAAATCGACATAACCCCTCACAGGAATGCCTTGACACCGTAGGGCACAAGGGTCTACCCCTGCTCACGGGGTTCATTTTGAGGACAGTTTCTGGACAGCCAGCATTTCTTGCTTGTTCCTGTGCTCCCTCTGCCCCTTCAGGGCATTTCATATTGTGTCGATTTGACAATCAAAACTAATCATCACACACACACACACGTATACACCTAGGTGCACCGCTGGTAATCATCACACACGTGTACACATCGGAGTACACAGGGTAATCATCACACACATATACACATAGGTGTGTACACCGGGTAATCATCACACACATGTATACACATAGGTGTACACAGGGTAATCATCACACACACGTATACACATAGGAGTACATAGGGTAATCATCACATGTGTACACATAGGAGTACATAGGGTAATCATCACACACACGTATACACATAGAAGTACATAGGGTAATCATCACATGTGTACACATAGGTGTACACAGGGTAATCATCACACACACGTATACACATAGGTGTACACAGGGTAATCATCACATGTGTACACATAGGTGTACACAGGGTAATCATCACACACACACACGTATACACATAGGTGTACACAGGGTAATCATCACACACGTATACACATAGGTGTACACAGGGTAATCATCACACACACGTATACACATAGGAGTACATAGGGTAATCATCACATACCTGTGTACACATAGGTGTACACAGGGTAATCATCACACACACACGTATACACATAGGTGTACACCCGTGTTTATTTCACTCAAAGTTTCATATAGGAGTTCATCATCAAGGCAGGAGCTGGTGATGCAGAGGTCAAGGAGGGGAGCTGCCTCTGCCTCGCTCAGCCTGCTGTCTGATAGATCCCAGGACCACCAGCCCAGGGATGACACCATACACAAGGGGCTGGGCCCTCCCCATCAATCAAGAATTTAAAAAGTTCTATATCCGGAGCTCAGGAAGGCATTTTCTCTACCACGGTTCCAAGCTCCTTTCAGACAATTCTGACTTGTGTCAGGTTGACACAGAACCAGCCAGCACACGGAAGAAATGTATCTGAGAAGAGAAATTTCAGTTACCTAAGACCTACAGCATCACCGTGGCTTCTTATTGGAGTTCAGTGTTGAGAGGGCGGAGGAGGTAAAATTCTAGCTGAACTGTGGCTCACAGTAGGGACACATGTCTATGAACCCACCTAGCAGTAACCTCCCTGGCCTTTCAGGGTGAGGTTAGACGGGTGTGTGTGGTTCAGTAACTAATTCCATCCCCAGCTTATAAATCAAGTAGGAAAAACATTGACAACTTCCAAGATGGCTACAACCTGGTTCAGATATTAGCTACCCCCGGTGCACAATGGGAATTCGTGGCACCATTAAAAACATGCCTGCCATATTTCTATATAACTTACTTCCTTAAATAATACAGATTTTTGAGATTAAGAAATATTTGTTATTCCATTTCACATAAGGGAAAAATATCATAGAAATAACTTTCATTTGTGTAATAATTTACTAAAATATTTTATCACATTCCCAAAAAGCAATAAAAAAGTTCCTTAGAACCTATAAATATGAAATGACTGAGATTCGAAGGAGATGGGTGGCCTACTTAAGACAGCACAAGAGCCAAGATCAGAGCCAAGCCGTGCCTATAAATGATTTTCCTGGTCCCTGCTCAATTGCGTTTGCCACCAGAAGTCTCCAGAATAAGGAGGTAAAACAAAACAAAATAAAACAAAACAAAAACCCATGATACAGTGTGTCAGAAGCGGCCCTAGCAAGCTGACTAAGCATGAACTGGCTCATCCACTCAGGCTGACCCGGTGCCTGGCCCCAAATAGCAACAGGGGCAGAGGCAGGCTGGCTTGACAGGGAAGTCCATAAACTTTAACTTGTTTCAAATTTAGTGGTGGTCTTCTAAAAAAGTTAAGTTAATGAACTTCAAAATATTCTGCCTATGCATTTTCCTAACAATGAGATGATTTTAAATTATCTAATTTACATTTCACTACTAGAAGAAATTTAAATGACAAAGAGCCCACCAAACATATTCGATCACACACAGTGATTAGAATATTATAATTCACTTTGCCTGTAGTGGCAGCCTGATAAAGGGAGTCATCTCTAATATATGATATACACTGAACTAGCTTTCTTCTCCTTAATAAAAGACCAATGAATTTAAATGTATGTACACAAATTCAGAAGCTCCAAACCTCAAATATCTAAATACTTTCGACGCAAATTCATTCACCTGTGAATTTTCACACATAACTGAATATTCTAGTATATGTTGGTCCATACTAATTTATATCAAGGGTTTTAATTTTAATGTCTTAAATATTGCTCATTCAATCATAACTCCTAGTGTTTTCTGAACATACACCGAATCTCTGTTACTAACCTTAATGTTCGTTTTATTCTCGGGAACAAACTCATAAACCATGAATGCCTCTCCGAGGTTCACCTTTAAGGGAAATGTGGAAAGCAGGCCTGACCCTCCCACACCGGTGCTGGGTAAATGTGCTCACGGTATGAAGTGTTAACCATCAGTGCTACTGGGCACACAGACAAACATCGTGGCTTTCAGAGCAGAGGGCCTAGCGTGACAACGATTTTGAACACATAGGAAATGAGCAGAGAAGGTGAAAAGGGAGGAAAGCATTTCAATCCCTGCCTGGCCGTGGAGATGAGCGATGAGACATGGGATTAAGGCCCTATCGATGAATCAGAAGAGATTGTGGTAAGCAGATTGCAGCTCAATTATAAAGAACAGTCCGTTCGTGGATGACAGAGAGGACCATCCCAGAGATGCTTTTGGTTATTAAACATACTTCAGGCATGAGCTAGCTCAAAAGCTGGAAAAATCAATTGGTCCACAGATGTTTCCTGGCTCAGTACCACTCCCGTGGACTGCCACGGCTCTTGGCTCCACTGCAAACATGTTACATAGATGCAAGGATATGGTACACATGTAAATATTTGAAGAGTTTACTGTCTGTCTCTTAACTGGAAGTATTTGTAGACTCCAGTGGAGAAGATACAAGAACCAGTGTGGACCCCGACAAGATCCCCAAGCGAATGATTGCCTGGCATTGGGAACAGGGTGAGGTGCTTGAGTTACCCAGACAAGCTTGGGGCTGAGTGAAGCTCCTGCTGCAGCCGGCTAACGCTGTAGCAGGGTGAGGGCTGCACCTCAGGAGAGGAGCCGTAGTTGTCTAATCTGCACAGGTCCTGGAGGGCAGCCCCGAGCTGCACCTCCAGGAAAAGGTTCACAGTAGGGCTGATGTGAGGTCTCAGCACAGCTGCCCCGCCTGGACGGCTGCCCCGCCTGGACGGCTGCCCCACCTGGAACAGTATCTTCCCCAAGCCCAGGGTTCCTTCATTTATAACCACGTGAATGAAAATAAGATGCCCTGGTCTGCATGCTCTGGGACTAAGAACCCTGCTCTCTTTGAGAAAAAGTAATGTCAGTTAAAAAAAAAAAATCAACCCACAGTTGTCCATGTAACATTATAATACAGAGCATTTTCTAAAGATGTTTAAGTTTGGAATTCCTTTTATCTTAAGGACCATCTTAATGGTCATCATAAAGTCTTCAACGAGCAACTGAAGAAAGCAGATGCAGAGATCCACAGAGAAGCACTGGTCCCAGCATCTGAAGACCAGCCCAAGAGAGGGAGGAGTGATAACATGAGCAAAGAGGTCAAGACCATGATGGGGATACCCACAGAAACAGCTGACCTGAGCTAGGGGGAGCTCACTGACTCTGGACTGACAGCTGGGGAACCTGCACAGGACCAAACTAGGCCCTATGAATCTGGAAGACAGTTGTGAGGCTTAGGCAGTCTGTGGGGCCACTGGCAGTGAGACCAGGATTTATCCCTAGTGCTTGAACTGGCTTCTTGGAGCCCATTCTCTTTGGAGGGAAACCTTGCTCAGTCTAGATACAGTAGGGAAAGCATCAGTCCTGCCTCAAAGTGATGTGTCAGACTTTGTTGACTCCCCGTGGGAAGTCTTACCCTCTCTGAGGAGTTGATGGGAGAGGAGGAGGTTTGGAAGGGATGAGAGGAAGGAGTGGAAATGGGGATAGATATAAAAAAATGAGAAAACTTGCATTAAAAATTCTTATATCAAAATAAAACGTGCTTTAATATATAACAGTAGTCAAGATCTGGGGACATGGTTCCATCCAAAGGCAATTACAGTGCTTCTAGCTTAGGGACCCTTCAAGGCAGAACCATGTTTTCTTACCACACATTCAACACGTCAGCAAGCACACATAATTAGTCAATTAAGAATTGAATTGATTCAACTCTAGAAGATCTAACTAATCCATGAGGAATGTGTGCTACTAATTTCATTAATTAAAGTAGTCTGAGTTATTTATGTGAAAGGAGAAGGCAAACTGATGTCTTCCTACTGAGTCCAGTGGGCACAAAGTGGTATAAAAAAATCTCACAGACTACATCACCAGTACGACCCAGCTGCCCTATGGGACACACGCGTTCAAGGAAAAGAAGAGTAAGGTAAGCAACTGACGAATAATCTGACAGAAAAAACACACACACACACACATGTACATGCACACACACAGTCAACAAAGCCAGTTTGCTGACAAAACACACACATGCACACAGGCATACGCATAGGCACAGGCACGCGCACACACACGCACACATGCACACAAGCACAGGCACGCACACACACACACATGTACATGCACACACACAGTCAACAAAACCAGTTTCCTGAAGAAACACACACATGCACACAGGCATACGCATAGGCACAGGCACACGCACACACACGCACACATGCACACAAGCACAGGCCCGCACACACACACATGTTCAAACACATGCACACGTGCACACACAGCAAAGCCAGTTACCTGAAGAAGGTGACGAAGAACTGCACGAGGTCCATGATGGTGTTGTGCTGGGAAAACGCAATCTGCAAATCAAAACACAAGAAAGCTTGAACTTGCTGAGCCGAAACTCTTCAAAACATGGTGATGTTTCACAGTACATATAATGATATTTATAACTCAGCAAAGCAGCTGGAATTACCATACCATAAATAAAATACATACATGAAAACTTTACCTAGAATACGAAATTATTAACTACTAATTATTAATTACTAATGATGACCATTCTATAGATTATGATACTAAGCAGTTAAGATCTATTATTAAATTAAATCATAAATGTGAGCTGTGTGTTCCATGTGAAATACTGTGACATACTAAATGTGCCCAACAGAAACTGGCATTCGGGTTCTTTATCTAGTAATGATCGTGTTTTCAATTAACACAGCTGATAATTACTTGTTTGAAAGAAACTCAACTGCATTATAAGAAACCAAGAAAACTTTCTTCCCCAATAGAGCTTTGTCCACAAAAGTGGAATACATACATATATGCATAAATTTTATTCTCTGTACGTTGAAATATGCTAATTAATTTAAAAATTCCACATTAATAAGACATAAACCTGACAGTGAACCTAGAAAAGTATCTAAGCATGTCTCTGCTTCAGTGAATGTCACAGGTTCTGTGCTGGCATCTTCCTTTAGGAACTGTTAAACACCACGCAGCAATAGCGTGGTGTCTGAGAGCAACGTCATGGACCAGAAACAGTGCTTCTCACAGTAACCTCAGATGGTTTAGAAAACGGTACAGCCGTGGATCTTAGTTTGCCTCTACTGGGTGCTAATATAGAAAGCATCTGCTTCATAGGATTAGAAGAAAACAAAGAAATAGAAATAAAAATATAACAAAAACTATGTCTATAACACTAGGTATAGATTATTAGATTTGATTCTGCAACTATTGACCTTTGATATCATACACAGATGAAACAGTCAACCACAATGATATCCACACATAGCTGAGTTAAAGTATTAACTATGGCTATGGCTAGCTTGTTTCTTCTTAGTGACCTTTCAACAATGCCTTTAGAAGGACATATTAAAACAGATTGATAGTGCTGAGTCTTCTCATATTCTAAACAGCTACGAGACTGGAGGAAATCGGTAACAATTCAGACACTGGATGAGTGAGGGAGAAGGACCGTGACTCTGAGCTAAGAAATACACAGATGTGCTCTAAACCTGATGTCAGTGTGGCCTCACGGGACAAGAAATAGCAAGTGAGTTTGTCTGCTTGTTTGATTTTTCTGTGTGTGTGTCCATGGTGAGGGAGGCACGTGGTTGTGTATATGTGTATGCATATGTGTGTGTGCATGTATGTGTGTGTGGGTGTATGTGTGTGCATGTATGCGTGTGGGTGTATGTGTGTGCATGTATGCATGTGGGTGTATGTGTGTGGGTGTGCATGCATGTGTGTGGGTGTATGTGTGTGGGTGTGCATGTATGCGTGTGGGTGTATTGTGTGGCTGTACATGTATGCATGTGGGTATATGTGTGTGGGTGTATGTGTGTGCATGTATGCGTGTGGGTATGTGGGTGTGCATGTATGCATGTGGGTGTGCATGTATGTGTGTGGGTGTATGTGTGTGCATGTATGCGTGTGGGTGTGCATGTATGCATGTGGGTGTGCATGTATGTGTGTGTGCATGTACGTGCGTGGGTGTATGTGTGTGCATGTATGCGTGTGGGTGTGTGGGTGTGCATGTATGCGTGTGGGGGTGTGTGTGCATGTATGTGTGTGGGTGTATGTGTGTGCATGTATGCGTATGGGTGTATGTGTGTGGGTGTGCATGTATGTGTGTGGGTGTATGTGTGTGGGTGTGCATGTATACGTGTGGGTGTATGTGTATGCATGTATGCTTGTGGGTGTATGTGTGTGGGTGTGCATATATGCGTGTGGATGTATGTGTGTGCATGTATGTGTGGGTGTATGTGTGTGCATGTATGTATGTGGGTGTGTGGGTGCATGTATGTGGGTGTGTGGGTGTGCATGTATGCTGGGAGGGAACCAAAGTCTGTGAGCACCTGGGAGCATTCTGGGTGAATGCTTATCACGAGCTGTAGCTGCATCCCCAGCACCTATGGGAGATTTTTAAATTAATTAAGCGGCTAATTAATTAAAACCTTGAGTAAATTAAGCAATTAGGTTTCTGACTTACACATGCAAACTTAAATATATTACATTAAAGTCCAACAAGTTTCTAAGCAATGGAATTATAAAGAGTTTGTACATAAACTAAGAAAACTAAATTATTTGCATAAGATTGTACAAGGTATAGATAGATGAAATATGTTAAAATTTCTAAAATTTGAGTTAAGTATATGTTTCATCATTGACAGAATGAGAAAGAGTTAGATTAGAGTAGCTAAAGGAGAAGGTATTTTTAAAAGATGATACTAAAAAGACTTTTTAAAATAGAAATATTTTTAAAGTTTTTTTTTATCCCAGATTAGAATCTGGTGGATATGTAGTTTATCAAAGACTATATTCAATGTCTTAAATATTTGTTAAGAGGAGACCCGGCACACAGGCCCCAAGCGGCAGAGACACGGCATGCAGGCCCCAGCGGCAGATGCGGGATAGTCCAAGCATGAAACAGTGAAGCACACACTGAGAGCAGATCGCCCCACTACTACTAAATCAAGTAGGTTTTGGGGGGCCTGGCCTGCAGAGTGGTAGACCTTTTATTGGCGAGGTCTACGGGAGAACAGGGAGCCTGGTCCTGCCCCTGAAGACCCTCCTGAGTGGGGAGAGTGTTCTGGGCCAGAGGCGGGTCACAGGAGACGGAGCAGGGACATTCCCCGACCCCCTTGACCCCCCCCCCGTTAGTCAGCAAGGGCAGGTACCCTCTGCTGGGACTGCTCCACCTCTGCGGGGACCTCTCTCTCCCTGACCCATCCCAGCTTGCACCCAGGGGCCTCATTCACTCCTCCTCCCTACCGCGGGGCCCAGAATCACCCAGTTTAGCCTATTTAGGCGCTGGGTCGGAAGCTCAGGGCAGAGGGCAGCGGGAGTTTCTCTGTTTTGGTGGCTGGCCTGCAGAGTAGTAGCCCTTTTGTTGGCGAGGTCCCTGGTGAACGAGGAGCCGGGTCCTGTTCCTGAAGACTCTTCTGAGGGGTGAGAGGGATCATGGCCCCTGGCAGAAGCCAGGAAACAGAGAGAGGGCATTTTGTAAGAGAAGCCCCTGGAGCAGGGAAACCTGATCCAGTGTTAAAAGACCCATTAGATAGCATTGATAGGAGGAGATGGGCAGGCGCCAAGGCAAAAATTCACCAAATAATCTGAAAAACCACATGAAAACAACAGAACCCAATGATCTTACAACAGAAGACTTGAACACCCTATCACAGAAGAAGTGGAAAAAATTGACTTTATGAAAGCAATAGAGTCCCTTAAACAACATGTGAAAAACACCCTTATAGAAATGGATGAGAAGTATAACATAAAGTTTGAAGAAATGAGTAAATACGTACATGGTACCTTGGGAAACCAAGAAAAAATGATCAAACAGGTAATGGAAACAGCTCAAGAATTGAAAACTGAAATGGAAGCAAGGAAGAAAACACAAACTGAGGACCAGCTGGATATGGAAATCTAGGTCAACAGGCAGAGCCTACAGAAACAAGTATAATCAATAGAATACAAGAGATAGAAGAAAGAATCTCAGATTCTGAGGACACCATAGAGAAAATAAACTCACTGATCAAAGAAAACAACAAAGCCAACAAATTCTCATCACAAAACATTCAGGAAATATGGGACACAATAAAAAGACCAAACCTAAGAATGATGGGAATAGAAGAAGGAGAAGAGTCACAGCTCAAAGGCCCAGAAAATATTTTTAACAAAATTATGGAAGAAAACTTTCCCAACATAAAGAAAGACATTCCTTTGAATATTCAAGAAGCATACAGAACACCAAACAGACTGGATCAAAGAAAAACATCCCCTCGCCATATAATAATCAAAACACAAAATACAAAGGTTAAAGAAAGAATATTAAGAGCTGCGAAGGGAAAAGGCCAAGTAACTTATAAAGGTACATCGATCAGACTTACACCTGACTTCTCTATGGAAACCATGAAAGCCAGAAGGTCCTGGATAGAGGTACTGCAGAAGCTAAGAGACCATGGATGCAAACCCAAACTACTATACCCAGCCAAACTATTGATCACTATCAATGGAGAAAACCAGACATTCCAGGATAAAAACAAATTTAAACAATACGTAGCCACAAATCCAGCCCTACAGAAAGTAATAGAAGGAAAATCGCAACCCAAGGAATCCAACATTGCCAACACTGCCTACAATAACTCAAGCATCTAGTGACCCCTCACCAGCACAACTCAAAGAAGAGAGACAAACAAACTCTACTACCAAAAACAATAAGAATAACCGGAGTAAACAACCACTGGTCATTAATATCACTTAATATTAATGGGCTCAATTCACCTATAAAAAGGCACAGGCTAAGAGATTGTATACGAAAACAGGATCCAACATTCTGCTGTTTGCAAGAAACACATCTCAACCACAAAGATAGGAATCTACTCAGAGTAAAGGGTTGGGAAAAGGTGTTTCAAGCAAATGGTCCTAAGAAAAAAGCAGGTGTGGCCATACTAAATTCTAACAAAACTGACTTCAAACTAAAATCAATCAGAAGAGATCGAGATGGACACTTTATACTCATAACAGGAACAATTCATCAGGATGACGTCTCAATCCTGAATATCTAACGCCCCTAATATAAAAGCACCCACTTATGTAAAAGAAATATTACTAGAACTCAAGGCAGACATCAAACCACACACACTAGTAGTAGGAGACTTCAACACACCTCTCTCACCAATGGACAGGTCAATCAGACAGAAACCTAATAGAGAATTAAGAAAATTATTGGAGGTAATGAAGCAAATGGACTTAACAGAAATCTATAGAACACTCCACCCAAATAGGAAAGAATATACCTTCTTCTCTGCAGCTCATGGAACCTTCTTGAAAATTGACCACATACTCGGAA